TGAGGATCAAACTCGGTTAGCCACAAACAGGGCAACCGCAGAGACCTCTGTGCCCTCCAACCCTTTATTGAGTTTTCATTTTCTCCTATAAGGAAACTCTGTGTTTCTTTTTCCAAGAAGCACAAAATAGTTCACTGGATACACATCCTTAAAAAAAAAAAAAAAAAGAGAGAGCGAGAGAAAGTGAGAGAAACTCATTTAGAAATGACCTACTTCGTATTATAAAAAGGATTTTTAAATGCATTTCAGAATTTGGCCCTATAGCTATTTTTTTTTTAATTCTAAGGTGATTTTAGCTTTTTAATTGATGGGAGTCACATGGAGGGGCTGACCTACAGGTTCAAGTCCCCGTAGCCTGGATTCTCCATTCCCACTGTGTCTGTCAAGGGCCTTCTCTGGTGGCGTTTCTCATCAAACACCTAACTTGGGACACACCCAGGCAGAAAGAGCACAACAGGCACATGAACGAGGGAAAGAAACACAAACTACTCTCCCTAGAAGGCTGTGGAATTTAAAAAGGTGGATACAGCTGCCAAAATGGAGGCAGGCCACACACACACACACACACACACACAGGCCCGTCCTGCCCCACCCTGCACAGTGCGGCAGGCAAGCTTGCTTGGATTCCCATTCCTGCCAAGACTCTGCCTCCCGGTCCTTTTCTGGGAAAGGGTCCGGCTGGCTCTATGTTTACTACAGGGATAACAGAGCTGACCCCGTGATTAGAGCTGCCTCCTCAGGAATGAGGTTTATCAGCAAGGTGAAAAAAAAATCAAGTAAAAAAAATAATAATGATAAGGAGTGTGGAAGTCTTCCCTTAGCAAACGTTGCCAGAGGGCTGTCTGGTGCGGGGTGCAATGCACGTGACAGAGAAGGCGCTGGGGAGGAGGGACAGTCTGTCAGGCAAAGCCGGGGCCCTATGGCAGGTCCCAATTCCATGCCTTACAGGTGTCTTTTTTTTTTCTTTTTGGGTCACACCCAGCGATGCTCAGGGGTTACTCCTGGCTCATGCACTCAGGAATTATTCCTGGCGGTGCTTGGGGGACCATATGGGATGCTGGGAATCGAGCCCGGGTCGGCTGCATGCGAGGCAAATGCCCTCCCCACTGTGCTATCACTCCAGCCCCAAGTGTTTGTTTAAAAATATATATATGTACATATATGTATGTACATATATATACATACACACATTTATACATACATATATATATTAAAGGCCCTCCCGTTGATCATTGATTTGCTCGAGTGGGCCCAGTAACGTCTCCATTGGAGACTTTGTTGTTACTGTGTCTGGCATATCGAATACTCTCGGTAGCTTGCCGGGCTCTCCGAGAGGGGCGGAGGAATCGAACTCGAATCGGCCATGCTGGCTGCGTGCAAGGCGAACGCCCTACCGCCGTGCTATATTAGGGAAGATTCTAAGAACATTCATGGCCTGATCGTTTCCAAGCCACAGCCCAATCGTGTGGCAAATCAACAGTCTTTTCCAGCAAAATGTTCTCGTGTCAGTGAGACGGCCTTCAGCCTTCAGCCAGGGGAGCCGAGTCTACACAGGATACGAGGGAGATGCAGAGCTGCCCTCCCCAGCCTCTACGCCTGCCCTGGTCCATGCGCGGGACTCCAGACCGAAGCCTGAACGTGTCTGGAGGGAACCAGATGACTAGAGGCCCCCATAGCTGGCTTCCGAACCAGGGGGAACAATTCGATTATCCTGGTTACGGGAGATCAAAGATAACATGGAGAGTTCTTCCAGTGCAGAGACATCGGAGAACAACGGCGACCTTCCGGTTTTAAAAAATATTTCCCGATTGCATTTGTACCCTGCTCTTGTAATAAAACTCTGACCTGGAGAATGGGTTTCGGTGATTGCATTTGACTGAGAGAAAAGAAGGAGATGGCTGTGGGCTGCTGAGTTTTTATTTTATCTTATTTTATATATTTTTTTAAAGCTCGGGCTTTATGTTTCTGTCACTGAATTTAGCTGTTGAAGCTTTTAAGGCTAATGGTGGCTGTAATGTACCAAACAGTGCAAGAGAGAAGAGTGGAAATTAATTTGGCCATCCATTTGTCAAGATGCAGGCTGGAAGAGATTTTAGGAACCAATCTCAATTTGGGGGGATAGCCTGGCCCTTCAGAATGGGACACGGGCTCATTCAGTTCCATAACCTTTAATCTGTTTGAAGAAAGGAGCAAATGTTAAATTCCACAAGGGTACTTTCTGGGCAAGATAAATATATATAAGACAATTGTTAAGACACAGCACGCCGGCAAGATCACATCCATTAAGGAAACGGATTCTCTCCAGGGTTTCAGTAGCAAGGCTAGCTTCACTTGCATTGGGTGTGACTGGGAGAGGCGGGTCATTCATGAGCCCAAAGGCCTGCTGTGGGAACAGGGGACAACTGGTCCCCCGGGACTCAAGTGCACCTGTGATGTTGCCTTTTGTTTGTCTCTGGGCTACACCCAGCGGTGCTCGGGCTTTACTCCTAGTTCTGGGCTCAGCCTGGTGGGGCCTGAGAGACACTGTATGTTGCTGGGGATTGAGGCCAGTTGTGGGGTTCAGCTGTGTGCAAGACAAGTGCCTTAACCCCCATAATTTCTGTTCAGCTGTACATTGTTTAATATTACTTCCAGAGGAGGAACAGAGGGAGAGGGAGGGATATATGTGTGTGTGTGTGTGTGTGTGTGTGTGTGTGTGTGTGCGCGCGCACTCGCACGCGCAAGGGGGAGAGAGACAGAGAGAGAGAGAGAAAGAGAGAGAGAAAGAGAGCGAGAAAGAGAGAAAGAGAGAGGAGAGAGCTTCAAGGAGAATGAGAGGGAAAGAGAACAATAAGAAGACCGACCCCATAAAGGTATCTCAGAGGCAGACAGAAATACAGCGTTTGTTTTTCAAATTTCCTCTTAAACGGAGTGTCTGAGGCAGAGCTGTGATAACAGTGAGTTGTAGCTGTTTGAGGATGTAAGATTAGCTTTAGTCCGGAGTGAAGGATTAAGAGCTGTGGACAGAGGCGCCTCCACTGAGATGGATTGTGAAGGGGGAGGAGTTCAGGGAGTGTTAAGAAAGACCTTAAGGAAGGAAAAAAAAAGGCCGCCTAAGCTAGTGAGAGGCCAGCCAGCAAGGCAAAGCAAAGCCAAAGATGGTGTTGGAACATGGAGCGTGTCAGGCCTCAACTGCCTGCAAGTGTCAACATGGAACTCGGACTACCGAGATGGAATGTTCTGCAGTGAGAGGGAGGAAGGGCTGGCTCAGCCCCAGGCAGCTCCTTCAGAGGCAAAAGCAGATCCTGGAAAGGCTTTCTGAAAAGACCCACTGTGTGCAGGGCGGGGGTTGACAGTCACTGACTCTCACTTCCCAAAGGCTTTTTGCCAAGACACCGAAAACCTGGCAAGTGGAGCGTATGCCCAATTCGACTCACATCTGGATATGGTGAAGAAACCAGCCAAGGTAAAAAAAAAAAATACAAAAAACCAAAACCACCCAGTTGGTGTCAGAAAAGCCTGTTGACTCTGTTTCCCAGAGCCTGGAAGAGGCCCTCTGTGGTCTGCTTGACAGTGACCCAGGCCATGGGAGGGTTCGACTCACGTTTTCCGAGTTTACTTTGGAAGCAGGAGGAACTACAAATGGCTGAGACAGACACACGGATGAGTGTTCCTAGAGTGGCCAGGATGGAGCCTGGGGGTTTTGATACACAAAAACCCACTGATGGACTTTCAGAAGACTTTAAACTGGGCACTGACTGATGTTCTCACTGCCAGTGTCTGGAGGGCGTGTCCTGGGGGCTGAGTCATGGGCTCCCTTTGCCCCACCGGAAGAGAGCGAAGAAAAAGGGACATCCTATGGCCCTTTGTTACAGCTCATCAACCCAGGAGGGTCCTTTCATGGGAATCTTAGAATCTGCCCGCTGATCTTCACTGACTCCTGAGAAAATTCAAAATGCCTCCACAAAGCGGGTGTAAAGGACCGTTGTTGTCTCTGGGGTGGGAAAGAGGATTAATCCAGAGGAACGGGGAGTGAAATTGTGCTCTGCCAGAAATCCAGTGACAGGGGCAGGGCCTCCTCTGAGGGCCCAATAAAGCAGAGATGGTATCTGTTAAGAGTTCCCCTGTGGAACAGTCACCATGACCTGCCCTTGGGGCAGGCCAGGGTCAAGAGGGGGCCTGTCCCTGACGGGGTCCTGCCTGTCTGGTGGACGAGCAGCAGCCATCGCCAGCCACGCTGGGCAGCTGGGAAGCCACCAGAGACTGTGAAGGGGACAGATGACACTTTTTCCTCCTGTGGAAGAGCTGGAAGGAAGAGACGATTGAACTCCTTTTGAGTAAGATTTTCAGCTGATCCCAGAAGATGGAGCCACAGAGCGAGAGCCCCTCGCACCTCCAGCACTGAACGGAAGGCAGGAGGGATGCCTGGAGACCCCCAGGGAAGATGGGGACCCCCAGCTGAGCCCCGAGAAGACTCAGGCAACGCAAATCAGTCATATGCAGAGGCAGGAAGGACTGGAGGCCAGTAGAAACCTCGCCTGCAGAGCTAGGCATGCTGAAGCTGGCATTTCTCTTCATGGGCAATAAGATAGAATCAAGACAAGGAGAAGATCCTGTGCCATATACTTACCATGCTGCCAACCATGGTCAACCTATTGGCTGCTGGTGTGTTCACTAACAGCCAGGAAGCTGTTCTCCTTGGCACTGGTTTTGAACAGTGATGCTCAAACCAAACCAAACCAAACCAAACCAAAACAAAACAAAACAAAACAAAACACGATGAAGAAGAAACCTCATAGCCTCAAAGCTTGCAAAATTGCTGATGTACTGTGAAAAGCTCAGATGTGACAGATTTTAGAAGCCCAATGAAGAACACAATATCCAACGTCTTTTGAGGTTCTCTAAAAAGGAAACCATTAATGCCAAGGACTTCAAGGGAACACTTCGGCTTTCTTTTATACAGACCAGAAAAAAACAATATACATTCAGGACATTTTTCAATGGTAATGAAGGTACCATACCTGTGATGATGGGAAGGATGGTGGTGGTGGTGATGGTGGTTGTTGTGGGAGGAGGGAGAGTTGTGGGGGGATCTGGATAAAAAAAAAAAAGGAAAATCAAACCCACAACGCTGAACACAACAGTGACCAGTAAGGACAAACAACAGGCACGAGGACACCGAAATGCTCCTTTGAGGACTCCATGCTAGAACTGAAAGTTGATTTTTAAAATTTTTCCTTTTGTCCCCCTGCCAAAGATCTGCTTTGTAATTATAACCCAAAGACTTAGGTGCAAGAGCTAAGAAGGACAGAGATTTGTATTAATGAGGTGAACCAGGGATGAGATACGTAGAGAAGGAAGTTAAGAAAATAAAATAAAATAAAAAATACATACATTCAATTAGATGACACCCCCTTGCCCACCAATCTGGTTTCAAAGGTTGAGATCTTTGAAATGAGGCTGACCCATCTCGGTACCCCAAAAGGCACAATGACTGCCATTTGGCTTTAGATTCTTACAGAGGGGGAGAAAGAGATGGGGTTGGTCTATTTAAAGGGCTCCTCTCGGCCAAGGATGAGTCTGCGCCTGTCCCCTTGCTCTCTCTGACTGCTAACTTCATTATTCTCCATCAATACACCCCAGCAGGACGTAAAGCTACTTCTAGCCTTGTAATAAATACAAAGACGAGAGAATGTCACCACTAAATATCAAGTTCCAGGCATGGGAGATTTTACTGAGATTTTATTTTTTTTTAAAAAGTCAATAAATTTTACAACTTATAAATATTAACGAGCTCGTTGCTTTGGCTCCCGTTAAAAGTTTGACCTACGCAGATGACAATGATAAAACTGGAAGAATGTTTCCCGACATGTAAACAACAGAACTAAATATAAACAGGTCCTGACCCTCTGAGCCAGGAATCCAATCGGGAACCCTCTTTGTCAGATGTTGGATAGACTGTATATTCTTCTCTCTCCGTAAAACATAATGTGGAGGGAAAGGAAAGGGCATATATAAAAGAGGGGGGAAAATTTTTCGAAAGCCCAAATGATCAAACTGAATGTGTTAAATTGTCAGCAAGACTTTGAACTAAGCAATCACTCTGCTATAATAGAGTCTAGGACGATTTGAAGGCTTTTGATTTTAAATTTTATCTAAAGCACACCAACTTTTCCTCCCTGACACATCTGGTGTCCTTTTATCTCCAAGTGAGCTCTCAGATTGTCTAATTAATACATCAAAACTTTAATTATAGACTGCACCTCCATTCGGTTTGGTACAACTTCCAGAAAGTTTATGAAAACATTATCTTGGTGCCTGGCCGGAAGGTCTGTTGGAAATGATTCTGCTATTGATCCCGTAGCCCACAGGCGGCTTCTCTCACACAAATACAAACGGGCGGATTGGAGAGGGCCGTGTCAACAGCAAATTGTTCTGTCTCACAGGCGACTTTGCTTATTTGAGTTGGTGGGGGGGGGGGGGCGTGTAAGCAGTTGACTGTTTAAAGCAGCCTCACACATAAATTGAAAAGGGGATCCATTAAAAAAAATCTCTCTCTTTCAAGAAGTAAAAAGGATCCAATTAATAATTGTAAAAGTCACAGTTTTCAAAGACTGGCTCGAGAAATATGATCCTTTGGGCTGGAGGTTTAGATGGCCCCTTGGATGCTTGCTCTGGGACTCCCCAGACAGGAAGCATTTTGTGAGCCCCTCCCCTCAAGGTCAGGTACCCTGCCCCTTGGGAGGTGCACACCCGAGTGGGGGACATGCAGCCCAGAGCCAAGCACGGCAGAGACTCTGCCCCCTCAACAGGTCTCAGCCGTACCCTGAAGGTGTCTGTGACCCAGCGGGAGAACAGCCAATATGGCTTTTCTGATCTGGTTCAATGATAGTATTTATCACTCAAAAGGAACATCTGTCCCTGGGAGACTTCCCTGGACCTTCTATAATGTGATTCCTCCACCTCTCTCTGAAGTCTCGGCATCGAATGTGTGCTGCCCGTTACATAATCAAAGCGGACCCGAAGGTGATTTGAAAATTAGGAACCCAGGGATGGACAGACTAATGAGGGCAGAGCCTTAGGAAAAGAAAGGTCACGGGTCCCTCTCATTTTGTGAGAAATCATACGCTTTGAATTATTTTTCTCATGACTAGGGTAACTTTTGTCCTTCAGCTCTGGCTCGAGTGACCTGAATGAATCAGAGTCTGTTAACAGGTAGAACCTCAAAGCTCCGGTCTCTCCTAGTACCACAGCTGATGCGAGGCCACTACTTAAGGAAATGCAGCCTGTAGCTAATGGCCAATGACTGCCACACAGAAGCCCAAAGAACGAAATCAAACAGGCCTGGGCGCCAGCCAGCTAGGGACTCCAAGGACGGAAGTAACTCCCAGAGAACTAGACGTTTTAGAGGCAACGTTAACGTTTAGTTCAGAGAATATGTTGGAAGTTACTGTGCTCGTACAGTTGGTCAGCTCTGAAAATGTACTCAAGTTGATGGACTGGTAATAGACAAGTCGTATCTCAGTATTAGAGCCTGTCGTTCCAAGAATTTCTACGAGCCCCAGATAAGGGAGGGCGATGGGATATTAGAGCTCACTTGAGTTTCCTAGGTGAGGACAAGCACAGTATCTCTGGTTGGAGAGTGAGCAAGTGAGAAAGAGACAGAGAGACAGAGAGAGAGAGAGAGACAGAGACATAGGAGAGAGAGAGAGAGAGACAGAGAGAGACAGAGAGAGGTGTAAACAGGTGAATCTCTGTTTCCCAGACTTTGAGTAAGGTGCCCTGGCCTGGAATTAACCCTTTGGGGTTAATTCCAAGAGGACCATTTACAAATGAGAGGACTGGCCAACTGGGAGGCAGTGAGAAAAAGACTCAGGACAAAGAAAGGTCTCTATCTTGCCGGAACCTTGAAGTCAAACTGGGGACTTCTGAAATCTATTTCATACCTGTCTGGGCTTGGGTAAATGGCATGACACTTCCAAGCTTCATTATTTAGAGAGGGTTTGGGGCCCACTCCTGGCAGTGCTTGGGGTGGGGTGGGGCTCAGATCAGGGCTGGCCGCCCTGCAAGTTGAATGCCTCATTCGCCAGCACTATATCTCTGGCCCCTCAAGCTCCGTGTTATCATCCTTTGTAACCTGGGGGGGGGGGGGGGGGCGGTGCGGCGATCACACAGCTCCTCCCAAGGCTGCTGTGCAGAGGAGAGATGGTCAGGTATGGTCAGCCACCCCCGGGCAGGAAGGCAGGCCAAGGAAGAGTGAGGCTCAGGAATGATGGAGTCCCTCAGACTTCCCAAGTGGTCTCATCTCGCGATGCAGGAACAGTAGGTAGACTGCATCAAAAGTGCCCCCCTCAATTACTTAGTCTTGGGACTCAGGGAAGCATATAATAGACCAGGGGAAGTCTGTCAGGGCTGCTGGCTCTCTCGTTTGTAAAATGAGAAGCATGGTGTTCTGGAAACTTCGGTAACGGCAACGGAAGGAAGTTGGGGGGGTTGTGTGCAAACATAGAGGGCAAGGGCTCGGAAGGGCTGACTGTCAAAGCCACAGGGAAGGGGGTCTCCCTTCCCCGTCCCGTCCACTCTGTTCCCCGCTGTGGGCGGAGATGAGCAGTAAGAGGCCCGAGTGGGGGAGAGCCGCTGTGTGATTGACGTGTCTGGCTTGCTGGCCCTTCTTCCACGGCCGTGACATTCGACATTCCTTCCCCTCAATGAGATCTATCTCAACTACATCTACAGGGAGAATCAACGGCATGCCGTGCGGTTTTCTCTGCAGAGCAACGCACCGGGAAAACGGGCCTCAGAAATCTAGAACCACGGGTAAGAGGTAAGATGTGGTCCTTTTGTTCTCTGTGCAGGCTAAGCCCCACAGACCTGGCATCTCGGGACCCTCCCAGGCCCAGGTCAGGGAGAACGTTTATCCCTGTCAATGTGGAGGGTCAAGCATGCGTCTTTCAGCAAAGAGGCAGTTCCTTCTCTGTGCTCACAAGGAAAGTGGCCAGGCTCTCCGGAATGTGCGATGTTTCATTGGGCGTATTTAGGGGTGGATGTCGGCCTCTGTTTGTGTTTGGATCATTCTGCACTGCCAAGGGAAGAAAGAAAATGCTCACACACTCTCAAATATTGGTAAGACCCCAGGGTTCCCCTGCCTCTGGTTCCTTACTTGGTGTCATGTCATTTCATGACTGTTTTCGCCTGGAATGAAGCTAACCAAGAGGCTTCAATTGGACCGAAGAGACCCAATTTGTCATCATAAGACTAGCAAGGCGCTGCACTCCTCAGCAAGACAGACTATTCACCCCATGCAAAACTGGCAATAAGCTAGAAGAGGGAAATGACGTTTAAAATTCTGTGCACACAGTAGATGCTCAATAAATATTTGTGGCTCAGCGAATGGAATTAACGATAGGCTTTAATTATCCTGTAAAAGAGATATTAAGAAAATAAGCACATAAGGGGGGAAAAAAGCATCAACAGTCACCTGTGTCTAAAGCAGTGACTCTAGGGTTACTGTTGCTACCAAGGGCCTTCGACCTTATACCTTATACCCTCACAGTTCCCACCACCCCCGGTACTTACTGGCTTGCAACATCTTTTGGAAGGTAACTGCTTCCTGCTGAGAATAGGATATTTCTGCTCATCAAAGCAGAAGAAAGGCTAGGCCAGGTATCGTAAGAAAACACCAGTGGGGAATACACTCTCTGAGCTGAAAGCCGTTAATTGGTAAGGCTGGGTTTTGCAGTCATTATTTCTAACATAATCTCCATAGCCGGTGCCTGAGGACAGAGCTCTTCCACACAGCAGGACAGGAACTAGCAGGAACCCAGTCCCCTCCGGAAAAAAAAAAAGTGAGAGGCAGAGAAGAAAGTCGCTGCCCTCAATGGAGGTGGAGGTGGGGGGCAGCAGAGAGCTCTGGGGACCACCTCAACTTTTTGAAAGTTCTGGAAGAAAACAAACTGGGTTTGGGTTCTCGCTCTGGCCAGCGAGTGGCCAGGGAGCGGGTGAGCATCTCACGTACCGTATACATACAGCATGTAATCCGAGTGGGCCTTGCCCACCACGTTGGACGCCTCGCAGCGGTACGTGCCGTTGTCGGTTTTGTTGAGGTTGTTGATGACCAGACTGTGCCCAGACAGGATGGCATGCTGAGGCATCTCCTCATCGAGTCTCACCCAGGTCACCATCACGGGCCTGCAGGGGTGAGGCGAGAGAGACCGGTTCCGTTATTAAGTCCTCACGGAGACGTCGGCCTCGGACCTCTCGCCCGAATGTGGGACGAATCAGTTAAGGAGGACCAAGAGGATGGCCCTGGGGAACGGCCAGCAGTGGTGCTGGGAGACGCACACTGGGGGACGGGTGGGTGCTGGGACACTGACTGACTGAAACCCAATCGTGGACAACTTTGTAGCTGAGTATCTCAACAGGATGGTTGTAAGTTCACAGCGTTACGCCCGGGAAGTCTCCCGGATCACTGTGTTTGAAGAAATGTGATCGGGTGTTGGGAAGCCAGTAGGAGGCTGCCCCCGGAGTCTCGGTCTTCCCATTCCGCGCCGACAAACCAGCAAATAAATCAGTGCGCTCTATTTCATGTGGTTTCACCCCGATTCAGACAGGACAGAGCACGAGGGCCGGGGGGGGGGGGGGGGGGAGGGGGAGGGATCTGATTCTTGGCTAATAACAGACATTTAAAACATCTGAATAATAGTTCTTTGATCTGGTCTCTGCAGTTTGTGTGTGGTGGGGGGTGGCAATACCTGTCTCTTCCCTAGAAATATGCAATTACTTCCTTTACTAATTTATTTTTTTTAACGTGTATTTTTATTTATTTAGGACTAGGGTGTGCCACACCTGGAATTGCTCAGGGCTTTTTCCTGACTCTTGAGCTCTGCAGCTTGTAGGTGGTGCTGGGAATCGAACCTGGGTCTGCTGTGTGAAAGCTGGGTCTTATCCTCTGTATGTACCATCATCTCTCCGGCCCTTAACTACCTCTGCTTTAACCCTTCCAATAAGCCGCCTCCCTCTGCAACCCGGACCCCCTTATTTCTGTGTCCCTTAGCAAAATTTCTTCCTTGCTTGGCTCACATTGCTGTCTGTTCTCCTCTTGGGGAACACCAGCACCCCCACCCCTACACACACACACACACACACACACACACACACACACACACACACACACTCCAGCTCGAGGGACATGCTCCCTGAGATGTGCTGTGGACGATGCTTATAGGTCTTGGCAGCTGCTTATCAGAGACGCCAAAACTGTCCCCCCATCTGGGAAAAAGCAAGTTGCAGACAATATCCAAACCGTTACCAGGGGTAAAAGCAGCCTTTCAATTCACAGAAGTGGGGTTGGAGCAATAGCACAATGGGTAGGGCGTTTGCCTTGCACGCAGCTGACCCAGGTTCCATTCCCAGCATCCCATAGTGTCCCCTGAGCACCACCAGGAGTAATTCCTGAGTGCGGAGCCAGGAGTAACCCCTGAGCATCGCCGGGTGTGACCCAAAAAGCAAAAAAATAAAAAAAAAATTAATTCATAGAAACTGTGCCTCGGGCCAGGGTTCTTCCCTCCAAGCCCCCAAAAACGGAAGCCACGCCGTGTCCAGCACCCCGGAAGCTTTCCTTTCCAAGGAAGGAGCACTGAGAGAGGAGCTCGCAGTGCTCTCCCTCCAGATGCTGCGGCGGTGACGCGGCTGAAGACCCCAGCTTCACGGTGAATGGAAGCTCCCGTTAGCCCTGTCAGGTAGCACTCCAGCTCTCAAATGGGATGTGAAGGTACATTTTTCCCCCCTTTAATTACACATGAGTTTGTCATCACGGCCCAGTAAATTATTTAAGAATTAGCACCGCATATGCCCTCCTCGCGGGCAACAGCGGCTGGGTCTGGCTGGCAATCAGGCCCCGCGTCCCGCTGCTTGACAGCTGAGACCGTCAGTGGGGGTAAGTGCCGAGAATATTCACAACATTTAATGGCGAGTTAAATTACCATTTTTATTGTATGCAATTTCTTGAGAAAATAAATAGGTAACGTGCCGGAAGGGAGAGGGCCGCGGCCCGCGCAGCCACAGACCTGCTCCCATTTCGGAGGGACGGACAAATACCCTCGTTGGCATAAATGTCCTGGAGGAAACGTGTAATTTGCTGTCCCCGTGGCACATTCAACTGAACACACTACCTTCTTCGAGGGGGAAGTACAGAAACAAAATACAGGGTTGAGCGCCAGAGACTGTAAATGTGGTTAATGTGGCTGAATATAGGTATTGCGGGTGGCCAAGGGGCCTGCGAGCAATTTTTTTTTTCCCCTCCACTGGGTTGCAAGGGAAGCTGCCAACTAGGGCCTAATCCGAACCGTTTGCAGAAAGAGCTGGATGGTTCGCGGGCTTCCCAGGAGGAAAAGATGGTGCTTCGACTAGGGGACGGTGGCGGCAAGGAGGCACGCCCACTTCTCACTCGAGGAAACGCTATTTCCAGAGGGTTCTTGTCATCCCAGACAATGGGGTGGGGCGGGCACCGGGAGGGCCGCTGCCCAGCTGTTTGGGTGCTGGGGTGCCAGCCGGGCAAGGTCTCTGAGCTGGGCCGTGGGGACCCACTGAGGGCTCTGGGAAGCAGGGATCCCCAGGAGGCGGTGTGGCGGGTGGGACTCCGTGAGGGCAGCGCCAGGCAGGGACAGCAGAGGGAGCCCAAGGCTTTGGGTGGGGAACAGGACCACAGGAGATCCGAATGCCGACATGGAGATCCCAATGCCAACATGGCCAGACCGTCCCTCTTGGACTGTGTGGGCTGGACTCTCTCCCAGCTGAGAAATAGCTCAAAATAATCCTCACTCTCTGAGAAAGATGGACATTCCCCATTCTTCCTCCAGATTCAATGGGATCCGACCCTAAGGGGTGAGGCAAAAGCGGATGTGGGGTCACTCATTTGCCCTGAGCAGGGGTACAGGAAGGGGGTTCCATGTATTTTCTCTCTCCCATTCGCTCTGTCTCTCTCTCTCCATCTCTCTGTGTCTGTCTCTCTCTCTGTGTCTCTCTCTCAATCTCTCTCTCTCTCTCTCTCTCTCTCTCTCTCTCTCTCTCTCTCTCTCGGCACACCCATCAATGGTTAGGGGTTACTCCTGGCTCTATTGTCTCTGTACTCAGGAACCACTTCTGGCAGAGCTCAGGGAACATATAGAACACGGGATTGAACCCGGGTTGGCCGTGCGCTAGACAAGCGCCCTCCCCGCTGTCCCCTCCAGGGTCACGGGAAGTAGCTGAAGTAGCTTCTATATATGTTTCAATAGAAGTGTTAGTCCTTTTCTCCTGTGTAATGTATAAGTGTTTTTGTGTGTGTATGCACACACACACACAGACACATACAAACACATATGCACATACACACATAGACAGATACACACACACACACACACATACACACACAACACCCCCCCCTTGAGAAAAATCCGAAAACCGTACCTTACTAAGCAACCCATTTCAGACTGGGCTAAAAGGTTCTAACAGCTAGTACCTGTACTTTGCCAGCGAGCTCCTTGGACCACTGGTGTTGACCCCCCAGCACTTGGCAGCAGAGTCCAAATAGACAAAAACAACCACCACCCAAAGGCCCACCCCCCTCCCACCCCGGACCCAGGGAAAAGTAACATTTCTAGGAGGCCAGTTCTCACTGTCTGAGGGCAAAGGCAGCAAAATCAAAGGCAGAGCAAACTCATTTGCCTGCAGCTCAATTTAAGCTTGAAAGCCATCTCCCCAGCAGCTGAGACATTAGCACAGAAGGTAGCAGATAGATCATTAGATTGTGGGCACACCAAAAATTTATTAGGATTACGTTGTGCGTGAGAGAGAAAAATAGTTCTGACAATCATGTGGACGATAATAAAATAGAATTAGCTGCGATTTCCATCTGCACGGGTGGTTCATTTCTCTCCCCATCCTGGCCATTAAGAACCACAGATATTTATTCCCCCTTTTCGCAGAATATTCTTTTCACTTCCGAAAACACCTTCCGTCCTTTCCAGCAGGAGGCAGGTGACGGGCTGCTGAGTTGCGAATGCACAGCTGTGCGTGGTGACATTTACTGCTCGTGACCCTCTGCCAACCTTGGCCTTCAGAACTTACTGGGGTTTCCCGATGGCTTCACATGTTAACTCGAGCGTCTCCCCTTCCCGGGTGAGGCCTTGGAGAGGGTAAGTCATCTGAATATGCACTTGAGGCTTATCTGTGTGACAACAACACAAAGCACAATGTTTAGCAACTGATATCATCAGGCAGGCGCAGACGAACACACAGCCGCCAAACCCAGGCGACCAGGGCGGGCTGTTCCCTCCCCCCTCCCCTCCCCCCCATGCCACCCCCCCCCCCCCCCCCCGTGCCTGCAGGAATACCCTTCTAATTAGTGAGTAATCCTGGCATTTGCTCAAATTAAATTGACTAATAACTCTAAGGAATGAACCCGCCAACAGATAAGGGATGCGTGAGCCAACGGTGCCGCATCAAACATTTCCTGTGAAATACATTTTGTTACATTGAAGTTTATCTGCAAACTCACTCAAGCTAAAGGAAACTCATTTGCCTTCATGCTGAGGTGAAACCACAGATATTGGTGGCGCTCAAAATTGATCCATCTTATCATATATCATATATTACTTGGTGACAATATGCCGTGGCACCGCATGTTAATAAGGGTGCCGGCTCTGTGCTCGTTTTTTTTTTTTCCCCCAAAAGGCGAAACTTCTGAATCGCACCCAAATGGGCTGAAGAAGAAAGAGTGAGAGGGCAGGGGGAGGCCCCTTAAGGACTCCGGGGTCATTATAAACATGGAAGGAAGGATCTGGATAACCCACAAGGGCTGGCAGGGGCAGGAAATATCGTAGGCGGCAGAACCAGGCCAGTGGTAGGGATGGGAACTCCGGGGTGGAAACTGGGTTCTGAAATCCAAGGTCGCAGGGGGTGGGGTGGGGGTGGGGGGCTGAGGGACAGCTGTTAGGTGTATGTTGGAAGGGATTTCTGATTCCAAACACACTTCCCCACGGCACTCCACAATAAAAACCAAGCATAGCTCCTTCCGACAGCGAAGTAGCTGGGTAAGGGAGGGGGCGATGCTGGCTTTTGCCGGGTCCTCACGAACCCGAATTCGAGGTAGGAGATGAGTGGATGGGAAGGAGGGAGCAGAAAAGCAGGAGCGGGCTGGGATTCACTTCGCTAAAGAGACAAACACATTTTATAAATAGGCCGGGAAGGTTTCCCCTCCTCACCTCAGGCTGAACAGAGCAGCGATTAATCCCCAAGCCCAGTTTTCTCATTGAATTCTGGGGCTCTGTAAATGTATATTTTTGGAAATGCACCCCCGTGTAATACATGTGAGAGGGCAAGACATCAGTTGGCTGAAAGGTCAAAACAATTTCCATAACTTTACTTTCTCAGACAATCGCACGGCCTAAACCACAGCCCCCTGGCCTCTCCCCAGTAGGGTCGAGCTCATTAACATGCATCCTGCCTGCGGGATGAGACGGGAGAGAAATATGGATGGGCCCAGCCCAGCTCAGCCTGCACAGCGCCCAGGGGGGCCCCCAGGAGACCCTCTCCGGGGTCGGTTCTGTTCCAGATGCATTTTTATGGCCTCGTTCGTCTCACAGATCTTCCTGTGATGTCTCGGAATACCCCGTGGCATTGGGCGCCTTTTAAGAGAGTCTTTTTGGATCCCTGTGCACACTGCTGGAGCGATAGCACAGCAGGTAGGGCATTTGCCTTGCACGTGGCCGACCCGGGTTCAATTCCTCCGTCCCTCTCAGAGAGCCCAGCAAGCTACTGAGATATCCCGCCCTCACGGCAGAGCCCGGCAAGCTCCCCGTGGCGTATTCGATATGCCAAAAACAGTAACAAGTCTCACAATGGAGATGTTACTGGTGCCCGCTCGAATAAATTGATAACAACGGGAGGACAGTGGTACAGTGTGCACACCGCACACAAGGTATCAGTAACGTCCCCCCACCCCCCGGAGGCTAAGTCCCTTGCCAGGGAACGTGAGTTAAAAGGCCTGAAAGCTCGAGCTGACCCTTGCAAGGCAGGCGGCTCTATTCTTGGACTTGGTGGCACAGGAAATGCTTCAGGACCAAACGGCAGTTGAGGTTTCTAGGGACTGCGAAGGAGGCAGGAAGGCGGTCATTAGAGAAAGGCAGAAGTACACATCAGCCAGAAACAGGATGACCTTGGCTAGGCCTTGGCGGGCAGCCTGGGGTCTCTGGGGGCTCCCGGGGCTCGTCCCTCACACCACCTCGGGGGGAGGTAGCTGGCCCTTCCGGTTTGGTGGTAAAACACACAACAGGCCGTTGGTGGACTGCATGCAGGAGAGAAGCCACTGATATAAAATGAAAGAGGGAAGTATCGCTTCCGAAAATCGAAGTCAAGGACAGAGCCAGCCCCCGATGTGATGTTCAGGCTCAGAAACACTTCCGAGTCTCCGGCGATGGACCCCTGTCATTCCTTTTCATGAATCGCCCTGGGCGAGGCAAAATTTAAAGCCCCAAATTTGGGCTAAAACATAACATTTGCTTAGAGGTTAATCTCTGATCCACCAAAGGGCTACAATTTCCATGCACTGCTGACTGCAGCCCATTAATTAAGGACTAGCAGAAAGCTCCCTGGCTCTGCGGAAGGTTCTCTCCCACTTCGTGTGATTTACAAGCAAACAGAGAGGGGATATTTTCAACACAGCGCACGGAGGGTCTTACAGGCTCAACTTCCATGACTAAGAGAGTGCTGGAGGTCTATCTAGCCTACCTTTTCAGTGCCACTAGATTTGTCTTAAATGTCTTTTTTTTTTTTAAGTTCTTAATGGATATTTACCAGCTGTCAGTTACTCACATCAATTAGGAAGCTTGCTAGGTCTGAAAGTTACAGCAGAAAGAAATCATCGGGGAAGCCAGAGAAAAGAACGCAGCCATCGAAAACATACCTTTAAATTTCATAACTGATTTTCTTCCCCAATTTACTTCAGGTTTCTGCAGAAGCAGCCACCATTTCCTAATGGCTACAGCTGCCATGTTGCCTTAAGAGGCATCGGAAAAGATCCATGCTAATCTGGAGCACACCCCATGCAGAGGGGATCACGGTCTGAGAGCTGAGTATTTACAGGCATCCGATCTGACCATAGGGAAAGAAGCTGCCAACGTGCCCAGCCCAGGGGTCACCTAGATTCTCAGAGCCCGGAAGAGAAACTAAGTATTCTCAACAGGTGAAAGAGGAACCAGGGGTGCCTCCGGGGTCCCCAGAACCCAGACATGTGGCATCTTTCCAGGAAGACCCTGTCTACAATATGAGCACGTCAAAATACCGAACACTCCAGATGGCTGATTGAATAGCCCAGAGCTCATCGCTTATATTTTAATTATGTCCATAAATCACATGTTATAACCCACCAAGTCTCTTCTGAAACAGAACCAGACTCCAAGATTTATTTGGAAGTAATGAGGTAAGGCCCAGCACATTTTCTTGGGGATGACTTTACGCCTCAGTTGATGTTGTAGGGTACAGGGCTAAAAGCCAGTCGACGCTCTGTACCCAAATGCCATCACTGTCCAGAATGGATGGCTCAGGGTGACTTAATGTCATTAGAAAATGGACCGGCTATATAAAAATAAGAAGAATAGTGAGGTCTGCGCACTTATGGAACATTAGTTACAGAGATGCCATCACCAACCACCCATCAATTAGGTCGAGGAATCTGAGGTTCTCATAATATACTGAGTTTTTTTTTATATGTTAAATGAAAGACATTTAGCATGACTTCTATAGCAGACAAAATCTGTTCATTAGTCAAAGTTGCACAGAGGCTAAGTACCAGGCGGGGCGCGGCAAACCACAGCAGTAGCCCGTCAAAACAACAGTGTGAGGAAGACATTCAAACCCGAGGAAACCTTTTTTAAATGTACTTTGCTCTTTCTATAAAGGGGAATATATATGTCTAAAAGGAAACCCTTGGAGTGGTTAGACGGGCTCACCGGCAGACTGCAGCTGATTTCATGCCAGTCTGACCCTGCATGGCGTTCTAAGATCTTTCCAGAAGCCAAAACTCAAGACTCTGGAACCTGCATTTCACGTTTCTGTGTCGATGGAAACTCTGGTCTCCTCTCTAAGTCGCCACAGGAATGGAGCAGCAAGTAGGCGTCATCTCTGGCTCAAACTTAGAGTGGTGCTTTGGAGTATCATCAGAGAGGGTGATCGGTCCCTGCACCCCACCCTCCAGGGGACACCCTCCCCTGCTGGGCCCATGGCCACGCATGTTCTCTCAGGAGCCAGGTAGCCCTGCCCTGTAGCTCTGCATGGGTCCCAGGCACTCCACACCCCTCGCTTAGATTTCCTCTGAGACCCCCAAATATCACTGCCGGGGGACTGGATGCCGAAGCACCAAGTGCTGACCATTTCAGGCTTTCCCAGGGTGACCGCAGGGCACAGCCTGGGTGCAGAGCCATGTAGCCAGGAAAAAGGTTTGGGTCAGCACCTGTGTGTTCGGGTCGGGGATCATGGGCTGAGGTGATATCAGGAGGCTAACTGCAGCTTGGAGGCCAAGAAGAGATGAACCAAAGAGCGAGACTTGGCACCAGGGTCACAGGCCACCTCCACTGTCCAGGGAGCCAGTTTTGCACCAGGGGACAGGGTCCGGGACGAGGGCAGTCCCATGGAGCCCTCCAGAGTGAAAGCCATTGTCACGGGTATCCATGTGTCATGGTGCAGCGCTGGATCATGCTAGCTGCAGGGAAAGGGCCTCTGCTGACACACGTGGGTCTGAGCTGGGCGCCTGAACTGGACCGCTCTAGCCAGAGGGCTGAGGCATGGGGGGAGTGCCATCGGGTGTCGACCCTGGGGGTCCTCCGAGCATGGGCCCCACCACTGCACAGCATCTGGGGGTGGTGCAGATACCCAGGCTGGGCTTTTGAGGGGAGCTTTCCGGCCCGGGGAGGCTGCCTAGCCCATTCTTTTGAGATGTTCAGGTCCAGCTTCACAAGCGTTTAACCTTCCAGAGTCAACGTCTGACCTTGACTTCAAAAGCATTAAGCAAATGTGCACATTAAGGAGAGTGCACTTTTGGCTACGTCAGCCTTCAAGAGCCTTAGAGACGCTCTCCTGAATCCTTCAGGTCAGGCGGGTGTGTGTGTGTGTGTGTGTGTGTGTGTGTGTGTGTGTGTGTGTGTGTGTGTGTGTGTGTGTGTCTTTATAAGC